AGCCATCTCTGCATAAAAATTTATGTCACAAAGTGTGGACATAAAATGATTGCTATGAAATTTTAGCTTCATATACTTCAAATAATTTTAAGACGTTTCAAGCCATTTTTCACACACTGAAACCTGAAGCAATGTTTAAACATGAATATCTCAAAAACTATTAAAGATAAAACTTGGCCCTTCTTATGACCAAAATTAAAATATGTGAAATATGGGGCCAGTAGATTAAAAATGTCTGATAACTGGCTGCTTAAAATATGAAAAAGTCCAGCACTCCCAAATGCCCATATTTGAGCACACACTAATAATAACACCACTTGCTTCTAGCAGAGCTGTGTTTATAAAGTGACTTTTGACCTTTACACACTTCTAAAAAAATGTTTACAATGCTTTTCATATTCACCTGTTCTCATACGCAGTAGATAAATCATGGCATGTTGTTACCAGCCATCCAGAGACACTTGAAATTCACAGCCGAGGACACTCTGGCGTGTGGCAGGGCCAGGCAAACCCAGAAAATTGAGTTTTCAAACACAAGCTAAATGTAAAATTGTAACTCAAGCCACAGTCTTTTTTGAAACCTCACCTCTTTTGGTGCTCAGCTCTTTTTTTGTTTAAACCAAACCAAACAGAAGCGATGGAACGAAAAATGAAAGGATAAACATTCACACAGCTTCTGATGGTTTCTAAAGTTAAAGCTAATAAACTGTTCCTGACTGCCTTCATTCCTCTTGCCTCATTTGAACTGTTGAACATCCACACACAGTATAATCATCAGACATAAATTAGCAATAAGTCTGACAGTGTGATCCTCTGTAAATAGGAAAGCCACAGATTAGGATGAGTAGATTTTGACAACTGTAAGGTTTTTACCCAGGCGCAGGAGTTGAAAAGACATACTATATGAAACATTTTCTTTTGGAGCTCAAGCTTTGCAGCACTGACATTAAGAAGACCTAAAAATTAGTATCTTTATCATCATTTGCAATATTCTGTTCTCATTGATCAAAGCCTTTCTGCAATAGCATCTTTAACTACTGATAATGAA